TACTGTTACTTCTTTATTTCTTAAGGGATCAACTTTATAGTTCAAATACATGCTATATGTCCTTTATCATTAACCGCGTCTTATGTTTCTGAAACTAGAACAGATATTCACTTGAAACTATATAATATATGAAGGGTCACAAGTAAGCTCAGTATGCAAAGTTTTTCACTCTTAATTACATTTTGACATAATTATGCTATTTTCTTAACTTCACTGCTTTTGTTTGTTTTAGTACATTGGGAAAATGAAAGGTTATTTGTCAACTGTTTCAAACATGATTTGACAATATATATTTGTACTATTACCTGTACAATTTGTCTTTTTTTCACCAGAGATAATTTCTTTATATGTATATGTATTTGTGCCACGAAAGTTATTCCCTTAACCACCTTTCTAAGTCATCTTCTGTCAAGGACATTGGTGGGGGTATGAATTGCATTCAGCAATAGTTCTAGTTTTTTACAATATTCCTTTACTTTTAAAGGTATCTACCGTAAACTTCAAATACATTTTCCTTATCATCAACCACATCTTATGTGACAAGGTTCATAACTCTTGAAGCAATATTTTCATATTTATTTCCCTTTGAAATTTTCTTTAAGAAATATTTTAACTTCTTTACTTTTTAAGGTATCTGCTTCAAACTTCAAATATATTTTTCTTATCATTGCACACATGTGGTGTGACAAGGTTCATAACTCTAGCATGACTATTTCCAGAATTATTCCCCCTTGAACTTGGAATTTATGTTAACAAATGTTAATTTTTTGCTATAACTTCTTGCCATATTGATAAGAGTTATAAAATACAAGCTCCTGTATTCCCAGAAATATGTCCATTTAATTTTTGAACTTAGAATTCATAACAAAGGAAATATGCTGGGCAGTGGGAATGTTTACCTACTACAGATCATGTAACAGCCTTTGTGAAAAAAGATTTGGATGGTCTAGGTCTCAAAAGTCGTAAAGTATGGGGTCAATAATCTGTGTGCAGTCAATAACATTGCTGTTCCTTGATGGATATTGAAATAATACTGACATTATTTTTCATTAACATTGAGATATTGTAGATGCTTCTTAAAAGCTGTAGATCTAAGATAAAACAGGTCAAATGTCAAAAATGGGATTTATTGTCGCACATAACTAAAAAAGTATTTGACCTATAGTCCATGAAACCTTACAGGAATGTTGCTCAGCATGTGTAGTTGTGCACCTGGGTATTTTAGTATTTTTAGAGTTATTGCCCTTGACTTAGTAAAAATTTACAATATTTAACTTGTGTTGCATGTAACTCAAAAAGTATTTGACCTGTATGCCTGAAAGTTTACAAGATTGTTGGTCACCATGTGTACTTATGCACCTTGGGGTTTTCTTGTGGATTTATTCAGTATTTGTAGTATTTGCCCTTTACTTAATAAAAAAATTTCAGTTTTCAACTTGGGCACATGTAGCCAAAAAAATATTTGACCTAGAGACATAAGATTGACAAATTGTTGGAGTGTGGGGGCACCCGTGTCCTATGGACACATTTCTAGTTTTCTGTTATATTTCATATTATATGCCAAAACACTCAAATCTATACATCAGATATTCTTTCCTATACATTTCCTAATGTTTTCAAGTGCAGAATTACCATAAAATCTAGTGACTCAACATCACAGTCATTTGTTCTTGATCAAGTTCACCTATTATTTAAAGATAAACATATCATCTGTAGCCTAAATGGTTGTGGGTTTCTCATCTCTGGGTTGCATTACACAAGAAAACACTCTAACTTAGCTGCCTTTCTTGTCACTAGGATTTAATGACACAATTTTAGGATTAGTCAGTCTAATATCTGTACATGTATCATGTAACTAGCTGGAGTTTAATGTCTTCATATGTGTAGTTAACTCCAGTATGTTGTGCTTAACTAATTGTTGATGTGAAATGCTAAAGTCCCACACGCAATTATCACATGTCTGGGAAGAAGTGGTCTTATGACCCAAGAATTTGAAGTTTGAGTCATACTGTGTGATCTCCTATGTTGTCTCATATGCCACTAGTACTGGTTGAATCCCAACAGTCACTTTGGATTCTTTCATGTGAGAAGTTATCCAGCTAGCTTAGGGAATGTAAGTGCTTCTACTCAGGTGCCCGTTTGTGACTGAAGTAATGCATGGATGGGCTTCCTCCACCAGTAAAGCTAGAAAGTCGCCATATGTCCTATTCTGTGTGGGTGTGGACGCAAGAGTTGTTCAAATAAGCTACAACCTTTCATGATTATACATGTAATAATGTTTAAACTATTAATTGTTGTAAAGTATGACACTAGTCATTAATATGTTGCTTATAATCTGATGGTAGCATTGATCAGTGTGTGTAGGAAAGTAGCCAGTATATATCCTTAGAATGACTGCCATTATTGCAAGCATTTTTATAGAGACTTCCACCTCCAAGTGTAATTTCTCGGAGCAAATGGGCACTAAACAGGGGTCTCAAGAAAATTAGAGGCAATGGTGTGTAATATAAATGTGTCTGTAGAGTATGTGGATTCAGGGAGTTACATCATGCACAGGGTGTCCTGTAATATATGAGCAACCAACAATGTTGGGGGCCACAGTTCAAGGTTAACTTTCAACAGATAGCATATCCCTGACACATTTAATCATTTACTGATTTAAAGTAAGCATTTTTACCAATGTGTTATGTTAAGGTCACTGTTATGGAATCATTTGACCGTCACTGATGTAGGGCTATATCTGGGAATTTGAATTTCTTTCCTGTGAGGAATTGATCCAGTTAGCTTGCAGGTCAGTTGTTTTACTATGGTGACCATCGAGGCACCAAGAATTTTCCTTTGCTAACAATGACAGCTGGAATGTTGCCATATGACCTTTATAGTGTTGATATGACTTAAAAACAGAAAAAAACATGCATTTTCAGTTTATATTTAATCAAGCTATAATCAAATTTAAAATTTTAAAAATATTATCATAAAACAAGCTGTTAAATTTATTTTAAAATGATGATTTTTTTTGTTTCAGTTGCTTGAGAAGATGTTTAGTTTTCTTGCCAGGAAGACAGATTTCTATACTGGGGGACAGAAAGGGGAGTCAGAAAAGGTAAACTAAGCTTTAATATAAAAAGGAATTCTCTCCCTTGATACCCAAAATGTAACTGTTTTACAACATGTATGACCTTTTATTTAGAAAATTATGAAACGTGTACTCAATTTTACATTGGAAATGTAAACAAAAACCACACAACTTGATGGTACAATGAACCTGTGCTAAAGACAACCTCTTAATAAAGATCACATTGGAAATAAAGGTCACTCTTTGACAATCGTGAATTTTTTAAATTGACGAAAGTAACCATAAATGCTCTATACAGGCCATGTCCAGTCTCTCTTTGATGTCCTTTGTTCACATGTTTCACTGTAATTAAAAATTGTCGAGTGATTATCACAGTGTTATATCAAACAAAGAATATAATGAATGATCTATTTATTTGACTAGATGATATTGAGTAAGTTCAGGAAGCATGAGAAGGTTGCATTAGAGAAACAAGCACAATTAAAGGCAGAACGTGAGGAGGAGGAGAGAAGGAGGCAGGAACGAATAAAGAAGAAAAAAGAAGAGGAAGAAAAAGCAAAAGATGAACCAAAGATTAAAGAGCTAACTGATGAAGAGGCAGATAAATTACAAAAAGAATTAGAAAAGGTTTTGTGTTGTACTTCTGTGTAAAAGTTAAGATAGTTACGGTACAATGATTATATAAATCTGATTTCCTGCATAACTGTTGTTTAACTCTTACCACACTAAATATCTCAAATGGACTTACCTTTCTTTTAATTTTAACAGAGATCAGGAAAAAAGTAAGAGTAACAACATGTCACCACCTGATGGGTTGAAATAATTTATTAATATCTACTAGTCTACATTATAACAATGATCTTCATCAGAACAATATCAATAAAAAAATGTCTTATAGTACTAAGTCAAGGTATATGAAATCTATCTCTATTTTAGAAAAAATCTGAGCCAGAGTCTAGTGCAACAGAAAATGGAACTGGTGACAAAACTAAAGATGGAGAGGGCAAAGAAGATAAAAAGGTAAAAATATATCACCAACAGTGATTTTATCACTTATAATAAAATCATATTTTGGATGCGAGGAATTATATCACATCCAAACGACATTGATTTTATAAGGTGATAAAATCACTGCTTGGGATATATTATTTGATTCTAACACAGCATCAAAAAATAAACGCTGCGGTACCTGATATCCCTGATTTGTTTCCGTACTTATTTTCAGCGAGTCACATTTTTAATGGTTATGTCACATGTCTAAAAATAGATCGTCGATAGTGATTTTATTGCATATTTACCCACACTTTCTGTAGTCTTAGAATTTAATTATAAAAAAATGTAATTCTCATGCCCATGTCAAAGAAATGGATAAAATGCTGTACACAGCGTCTGTCAGTCCATCTGTCTGTTTGTATGTGGCATCTAGTCCGACCAATAAATAGAAAACCCTTTGGCCTAGAGTACAAAGATATTGTGTGGAGGTTGGTGATTTCTAGTAGATGACCTGTATTGACTTTGTGGCCATTAGGGCTTAGGTCATTGTAGCATTGAACAGCAAAAGCATGTCTGTCATATACTGTTGGGAAAAGGCGTAAAATGAAACAAACAAGCATGTCTAATATTACAAGAAAATGCTTTGGCCAAAGATTTGTTGTGGACGTTGGTCATGACTACAAGATGAATCCTTTTGATTCTGGGGTTTTATTTTCAAAGCTTATGATATTTGCTGAGATATAAAGTTGAAAAATTAATACCAATGTTTATTGTGATAAAAAATAATTTATTTTCACTTTACACTGAGTGTGATTATTTCCCAAGGTCATGTGATGATGTACTTGTTTGAGCTGCTATTACTGAACAAATATTGTTTATTGTCTGCTCTATTACACCTATAATTCTGATAATTGTGTCAGATGTTTATCTTATCACAGCAATATGGCTCAAATAATTAACACATTTAGACATTGCAGAAAACAGAGCACAACAGACGAAACTAAAAGTCAAGACTGTACTTTACATTTTTATGTCCACCGCATCTTTAAAAAAAAATCATCAAACCTAGGATGAATGTTTAACTCATTGAAAAACAAATTAAATGTTATGAAAGTTGAGACATTGGCAACTAGATATAAATCTATGACTTTTGATTTTAGACTGCCTTGTTGTTACATTTACAGTGTAACTTCTAAAAACCAAACACCTGTGGGACTAGCCAAAAAGTTCAGAATTTGGAAGTTTCCGGAATTTGGAAGTTTCCGGAATTCAGAAGTTTGGAATTATCTGAATAAGTAGAAACATAAGGTTAACATTGAACATTAATTGTTTGAGATATGATGAAAAATATAGGAAGCTTGTTAAATTCATAAACTGGCAAAACTATTACACTTTTAAGAAATTATACCTACGTTGTATAATAAATTTCAGTATCACATTTAACTGAATTTGTTGATACAAAATTATAATTTAATATTGCACCAGTTATTAATAAACTGTATTTATTTGTTTTTCATCACAATATACTTCTCATTTTTATTTTTCACACTTTAATCAAGTGTTTGACTTGCTTGAAAGGTTGTGATTGTAATAGGTGTCAAAATAAATCGTTAAGTGCTAATTGGAAGACATTTCTGAAGGTTTTACAATCTCAATTGTAATATTCTATCACACCTTTTTCAATTTCCGGATTTTGGAAGTAAATTTGAATTGATATAACCTAAATTTTACCAGAAAAGTCGTTTGGAATTCAGAATTTAGAAGTTCCGGAATCAGAGGTATTTATTACATAGAAAACAGGAGAAATTTCGGGACCCTGAAAAATGTTCGGAATTCAGAAGTTTCGGGATTTAAGAAGTTCCGGAATTCAGAAGTTACACTGTATTTCTATCTATTTTTATTACCCTTTTTACAGTATTGTAAGGGAACATTTTACCAATAAATTTATTTACTTGTATATTTGAACAGTCTGATGATGAAGAAGAAGATGAGGATGCTAAAGGGAAGATCAAACCAAACTTTGGAAACGGAGCAGACCTTGAAAAATATAGCTGGACACAGACTCTGTCTGAATTAGAAGTTAGTTTTAATCTGTACAGTTATTCATGTTCTTAAAGAGAAATAAATGTATAATATTATGACACATAATATAATGAGAATGTTATGTTACATTTTTTTAGTTCATCTAAGCTAGCTCATGGTAAGCTTTCAGGATCCTTGAATGTCCGTAGTCCGAACACATTTAGTTTGTTACCACTCTAGTAGTCTAATGGTCACATTTTTGCCTCAGTTGTCACCAAACTAGACAAGTTAACAAACTTAACAAGACAAGTTAGAACATGAGTCATTTTGGATGAAAAACTAGGCCACAGGAGCTAAAAATAGAAGCATCTTCAGGGCTCTCGATTGACACGGGGATCCGGGTTTTGACTCGTGAAAATTGGGAAATGTACAAATTTGACACGTGATAAAATCTGCTCAAGAGTCAATTTGCCACATGGGATTTTCAGCTATGCAATAATAATTACCTTAAATCCACCCCTAATTACCTATCAAATCCTACATATGTTCAAATCACACTCATTAAAAATGTCAACAGGCAGTATAAGTGTGTATAAAATGCTTTACACACGGCAATTGTTTAAAGCCTGTGCACTGAAGCGCGACAATTCAGTGGCTGCAATTTGACAGCGCTAAAAATAGCTCTACACAACTGATAAGAATCCCATACTTGAGGTGTCAATTATTGATTGCTTTTAAAGGTTTATAATACGTCTTTGATTTACTTGGAGTACCTGTGCATTTGTTATTTCTTTTTCCATTAAATATTCCTGGTACATTTTAGTATTTAAAATTAATATGATATAGCATACCAGTAAAGATAATTTTTTTTTATTTTATACATTTAATCAGAAAAGCTGCTGCTTATTTTATTCTTTCACAGCAATTCATTTTTTTGTTTTATTTGTTTTGTTTTTTTAAAGGTGGAGGGAGGGGGGGGGTATAGACATTTATAATTAGGCATTTTTTTCTGTCAATTTAGACTTTGGAATCATCAAAAATGACCTCCAATTCAGACATTTTTGTAACATAAAAATGATTCATGTAGTCAAATGACACTAGAAAAACATAATGTGACTCGTGAAAATTTTGGCCAAAGAGTCTTTGACTCATGAAATTCTGACCCTACTGAGAGCCCTGCATCTTGTTAAACTGTTGTTGCTACTGTTTTGGTCCAATTATCCTTGAATTGGTCAGAAAAGTTGTTAAGATGATTTCTAGGTCAAATTTGCATATGGGTCTTCTGGGAACAAAAACTAGGTCACACAGCCCAAATATGTTACAACTTAATGTATTGATATCTTTGGGATTTAAAGCTTTATGAAAGTGTGTTTTCAAAAACTTAAAATTGTGGTCATATCGTTCCCAGTGTCTTGATGTACATGAAAATTGAAAAGATATGGTTTAAAATGGTTTGGTTTTTGAGCTTTATTGAATCCTTATTCTTGACTTGGCTTGTCTTATTTTTTATGCTAATTTATTTTTTATGCTCCCCAATAGGGAGAACATTTAGTCGCCACCTTGTCAGTCCTTCTGTCCGTCAGTTGTCTTGTCCGGAGCATAGCTTTAAAACCCTTGGAGATAATTTGTTTAAACTTCACACAGTGGTAGAGGGCATTGAGGCGGAGTGCAGTGTCAAAGAACCATAACTCTATTTTGCATTGTTTTTGAATTATCTCCCCTTTTAGAAAAATCTTGTCCGGGACATAACTCTAAAACTATAAGAGATATCAACATGAAACTTTGTAGGTAGATAGATCTCAATGAGTAGCTGTGCAGTACATAAGAACTGTAACTCTATTTTGTCTAATTTTTGAGTTATTGCCTTTTGTTTATTTTTGCACTTTGAACTTTGTCTGGAACATAACTCTAAGATTATTAGAGAAATCAGCATGAAACTTTGTAGGTAGATAAATCACGTTGGGTATAAATGCAGTGCAAAAGAACCATAACTCTGTTTTGTCCCATTTTGGAATTATGTCCCCTTTTAGAAAAAAACTTGTCCGGGATATAACTCTAAAACTATAGGAGATATCAACATGAAACTTTGTAGGTAGATAGATCTTAATGGGTAGATGTGCATTGCTCAAGAAACATAGCTCTGCCTTGGCTTATTTTGGAGTTAATGCTCTTTGTTCATTCTTACATTTTAAACTTTGTCCGGGACTTAACTCAGAAAGCATAAGAGGTATCAACAAGAATCTTTGTAGGTAGATAGATCTTATTTATTAAAAGTCCATACAAAGAACAGTTACTCTGCCTCGCCTAATTCTGGAACTATCGCATTTTACACTTGTCCAGGGACATAACTCTGAAACTACAAGAGGTGTACTTTCCTGTATCAAAAACCTATTCGGGGAGCATCACCCGGTTCAAACCGGGCTCTTTTAAAATATGTTTTTTTTTAAAATCTTTTTGAATGAAAACAAGGTTATACTGTTTTGCCTTTTTATTTTGATATTCATTGTTGTTACAGGTAATGATTCCTTTAAATGTGAATTTCCCAGTAAAAAGTAAAGACCTTGTTGTTCAGATGGAGAAAAAGGTAAACAAGAAGTTTGATATAATTTATCTGCTGAACATTTATAACACAATTTTTTTTGATTAATTAAAGTGATCTACATATATCTCCATTACAAAATCCAATTTGGCTGCCATTGTAAAATCTATACTTTTTGCACTGTTTTTTTTTACTTAACCTATGCAGAATAAACTATTAGCCTGCTGGTGACAATATAGTCTAGCCATCTGTGCTGTCTTAACATGGTTTGGACTGTTTGATATTCATTTTTCATTTTTTACTAAGTACAGATATTTCATTAAATAAGTTTTCATTTTCTACAGTTAAACACTTACAGTCATCAAATTTAGCACTGCCCCAGTGGCCCATGGCCAATGAAAAATAGTTCGGGCCAGTGGAAATTAGTTTCAGGTTACTATCCCGGAAATTCATAATAGACTGTTTCAAATTTAAAGCTTGGCAAATCTATTATACAAATATCAACATGATTAGAATTAAAAGAAAGCCCGTATAAACATTTTGGTCTAAGTAGCCACTTGGCAAGGTGACCTTTACATCACTTGTCCCACATCACTCGGGGTACAAAATTCTACTCTTCATTGTAAGAAAGCTTTTTATCTAGTATTGATAGTTTGGTGATTTTATTGGGGTTCTTCCCTGTTGTGACTGAATTCATAAAGATAATGATTTTTTTCTCTGTTGGTGTGACTTAAAAACAACAACCAACAAAGAAAAAAAAACTTCATTTATGCTCGAAAAAAAAAATGATAATGAAAGACTGTTTTTGTAAATTTTCTCCAATTAAGTTTGAACTTGATCATTGTTGACAGCATGTGAAGGTAGCATTAAAGGGGCATCCAGCAATAATAGATGGTGAACTACAGCATGACATTAAACTAGAGGAATCCACATGGACTATAGAAGATAGAAAAGCTGTTAAACTCTTCTTTGAGAAGGTATATTCAGCCTTATATTTATAACATCTTACTTTAGGTATTGTGTTAATCCTTTAACTGTTATCTGTTACTCTTAAACTTTGATATTAAAATTGCAAATAGCATCAGAAGATGGCAATCACTTATAACAATCATCTTTACTTGTTGAAAGGGAAGGGAGAAAGTGGGAAATTAAAAAAACAAATGAAAAAGTCCATTTTATGTTAAATTGGGAGAAATACCTTTTAAAATTTCATTATCTTTCAATGTTCAATAAAATGCTTCTGAAAGGTTGTTTTGTTGTTTTTTTTTCTTCAGAAAAAGAGGAAAATTATACTATGTGGAGAGGCATAAATTTTGGCCCCAAATTGGCTGTAAATACTACTGCACAGTGAAAGATTTTGACATGATCATAACTGTTTTAATATGTGATAATTACAGATACAATTTAGGACTTAATATGATTTCAGGTGAACAAAATGGAATGGTGGAGTCAGGTTGTCACGACAGACCCAGAAATCAACACTAAAAAAGTTCAGCCAGAAAATTCTAAGGTTTTGTTTTTTTTTCTTCAATGTACCCTGATCCAAATATGTATTGGCAGCACATTATCAATTAACAAATTAACAACATATGATATGGTTAGAAAATAGATAATATACGAAATGTTTTATTTTTGTATGCAGATCATATTGTTAAATTAGTCTTCTGGTAACGGGGGTCACAGTTGTTTCCTTGGGCAAGGCAAAATTTCTCTGTTACTTTTGATCTGAAACATTGAGCCTTATAATTAATCATTTGTCACTCACCACTGACCCCCCTCCCTCCCTCCCCCTCTCCGTAAACAAACAAATAATTAGTCTGCAGTAGTCATAGATAGTCAAAACGGTAATAGTTTAGAGAAAGCAGTTATCTCCCTTTAACTGAACAATAAGACATTTTGATAATTTGAATTATATCTTACCAAGTTCTTTATACATGTATTTTATTTTGCATATAGATCATATTTTGGGATCAAGGTTATAAAACTTTGAGTTCTATCTTAAATCTCAGAATTTAATTGGTCAGTGAACATTATGTGTTGGTTTCTGTCATGCCAAATATCTGATCTATGAAGCGTAGAAAATTTCTTTAAAATCTCAGACCCTCACAGTTATGTAATTTTATTTTCAAAAATGAAAGCATATGAAATGCCAAATCTTCATTTGAGTGTTTACAGAAGAATTGTGTACAATTTTAGCCTTTGCCTAATATAATGTATGATCTATTAGATTTTATTCTTTTAATTCAATGGAGGTAACTGTGGTAGCCATCAATCAGATTGATTGCAGTTTAACTTTGCATTATAAATAGGTACACATTTGTTGAATCAAAACACAGATCAACTCTCAAATACATTTTGTTTTTGAGATAAAATGTTCTTTATAAAATTAATGGTTGAAATGGTTTTCATTTTTATTTGTTCAATGTTGATACAGAAAAGTTGGGGAAATTTATGTTAAACATATGTGATAATACAATGATATAATAATGAAATATAAATTTAATAAAAAGTCTTGTTTAATATGGTAATGCTGTTTTATATCAAAGTTGTTGAGATTGACTTTGTTCTGCATTGGTTTTGAAAATATTGAAACTAATTTAACCATCGTGCCAAAATTATTATTAAATATCCAAAGAAATTGACTATGATGTCAATATATTTAGAAAGTTCAAAGAAATTAACTGATTTTTTTACTGCGTATATGCAGTTATCTGACCTGGATGGGGAAACTCGTGGCATTGTCGAGAAGATGATGTATGATCAGAGGCAACGGGAGCTTGGTCTTCCAACCTCCGAGGATGCCAAAAAGAAGGATATAATGGACAAGTAAGTTTGTTATTTTAATCATAGATGTTAATGTGATTTGCTGAAAATTGCAGTTATCAGATCTAGACGGGGAAACTAGGTCAATGGTAGAAAAAATGATGTTTGATCAACGGCAGAAAGAAATGGGTTTACCAACATCTGATGAACAGAAAAAGCAAGATGTGATGTCTAAGTGAGTTTTGTGGGGCATGTAGTTGGTGTTGTGTTACCTATACCCCAGTCATATATAATATATATAACATTTAGTTTAGCATGCTGTTATTAAGTTATTTTGCCACCTGTTTGAGAAGTGCTTGAAGAGTAGTGTCAAGATTGGCAGGTTTTTTTATACCTTGCTTTCACTCTCCTGCTTGAAGCAGCACCTGAGGTCTTCCAGCAACATTTACTGCAGAGTCACTGTATTTATCTTTTAAAATCCAACAAAACAAACAGAAACATTTGTACAGAAATTTCAGATTGTGGAAGAAGGTGCTTATTGTGTCTCCTTGAAAAAGGTGACATATAGGTGTTACTTTTGTCGGCGGTGTCGCCCTAATTGCCAGCGTCCCATTAAGCTTGTCCGGGGGTCATAACTCAGTCACTATACAGTTACACTTCGCTCGCTCGAACTCAGATCGCTCAAATACCTCCCTTCGTCGAACTCATCGCCCAGTCCCGGCAAAATTCCTATATTGTTCTACCTCGGATCGCTCGAACACCGATTGCTCGAACTCTCAAACCTGCTCTCTGGTCCCTTTAGCAGAAATATAGTGAAAATCACATGTTTTCGGTCGAACACAAAAAGACGAGTCGACTTGTCCTAAATAAATGACAGTCGGCGACATATGTTTTTAACACCTTGTGATCGTGACAAAGGTAATTAAGGTTAATTGATACAAAATAAGAGGTATTGTAACCAATTTGTTTGTTATGATAATATTGTTGATTTGCCATTTATGGTAATGATAAAAAAAAAAATAACTCATGAAATAAATTAAATATGCAAGTCATTATTAAAGAATGACGTTTACACGGACGGCTTTAATTACAACCGTGGTTCATGTAATGTGAATTGTAACAGTGTTATCTATTTAAAGAATGATAGTTGTGTGTGTATATATTAGTAAATGACTACAAAAAGATGCTGCTGTAAACTTTTTTTTAAACTATTTTATTAATATAAATTCATCCAATAATAAATATATAAATATATTTTGAACATTGTTCAATAAGTTTGGTCTGATTGCCCAATCGAACTGAATCAATTACAATATGCATGAATATAGATTACCATAGAGTACCGTTAATACTTAATGAAAATACTGGGATAATAATTCTGAATATGACATATCCCACGAACAGATGTATTAACAAACAATTAAATTGTCATATTTATCATTTGACCGGTGTAAGCTAGAAAACCTTTAGGCCTATGATCAGCGTAATTATAGTTCAACCTCGGTTTGCTCGAACTACCAATCTCTCGAACAAATTTGCACAGGCCCTCCGAGTTTGAGCGAATGAAGTTCGACTGTAAGTCGGATTGACTCCAAACTTGGTATGCAATCTTCTTATAATTACTTGAAATGCCGTGCACAAGAATTGTTACTCTGCACGAAGTTAACCAAAAACGGCAAGTTGGATTTTTCTTAAGTTCTACCTGTACCAATGGCTTCATAATTTACACACTTACTAATCCATACAAAGTATATGATCTGGGCAAGTTACATAACTATGGCTTCCATTTGCACCAAGTTATGGCCCTTTTCAGCACTTAGAAAATGAATAATGAATGGTTAACCTAAACCGGCAAGTTGGAAATATCTTATGTTCTATCAGAACTAATGGCTTAATAATTTTCACACTTACTTATCAATACAATGTACATGATATTGCCAAGTTGTATAAATGTGACATCCATTTTCCCAGTAATTTCCCTTTTTATCACTTTGAAAATAGGGCCTTGTATGGTTAACCTATTCCGCCAAGTTGGATTTATCAAAAAATTTCACCTAATTACTTAATTTATTTAATGATATCTTTCATATTTGGTTGGTGGATACCTTTACCGGTCCTCTAATTTTTTGTGGCGTTAGGCGTCTCTAGGTCAAGGTCAAGTTCACTTGTGTAAAAAAATAAATCTAAACATTTCTGCTCATACAGCCTTTATTTTTAAGTTAATATCTTTCATGTTTATAATAGTCATACCAAGGGAGGTCCTCTTCTTTTTCCTTTAGTAAGGGGTTATTTGGTCAAGGTCACCAATGTCAAAAATAGATTTTTTACACTTTTACAGGTGTATTAACCTTATTCTATCGACAGATGTCTTGTATATTTTGTAGGAACATAAAATTGAGGTATTCTCATTTGGATGGAGGTAGGGGTCAGTTGGGTCAAAGTCACCAGTGCTAAAAATAGATTTTTAGCTCGACTATACAAAGTATATGTAGAGCTGTCCTACTCGCCCCGGCGTCGGCGTCCGCGTCCAGATTTTAGATTAAAGTTTTGGTGCAGTAAAATATTTTTCACTATAACTTTGTCATTTCTTAAGGTATCAACTTCAAACTTCAAATATATGTTCCTTATCATCAACCACATCTTATGTGACAAGGTTCATAACTCTAGCACCAATATTTTCAGATTTATCTCCCCTTGAACTTAGAATTTTCCTTAAAAAATACTATTTTTTACTGTTACTTCTTTATTTCTTAAGGGATCAACCTCATACTTCAAATATATGTACCTTATCATCATCCCCATCTGATGTGACAAGGTTCATAACTCTAGCACTAATATTTTCAGATTTATCTCCCCTTGAACTTAGAATTTTCCTCAAAAAATACTATTTCTTACTGTTTATTCTTTATTTCTTAAGGGATCAACCTCATACTTCAAATATATATACGTTATCATCATCCCCATCTTATGTGACAAGGTTCATAACTCTAGCACCAATATTTTCAGATTTATCTCCCTTTGAACTTAGAATTTTCCATAAAAAATATTATTTTTTACTGTTACTTATTTATTTCTAAAGTGATCAACTTCATACTTCAAATATATTTACGTTATCATCATCCACATGTTATGTGACAAGGTTCATAACTCTAGCACCAATATTGCAAGAATTATCTCCCCATAAACTTAGATTTCTTTACTAGAAAAATGTTATTTTTTATTATAACTTTTTTTAGCTCACCTGTCACAAAGTGACAGGGTGAGCTTTTGTGATCGCTTTTCGTCCGGCGTCCGGCGTCCGTCGTCCGTCCGTCGTCCGTCGTCCGTAAACTTTTACTTTAAATGACATCTTCTCATAAACCACAAGGCCAATTTCATCCAAACTTCACAGGAATGTTCCTTTGGTGGTCACCTTTAAAAATTGTTCAAAGAATTTAATTCCATGCAGAACTCTGGTTGCCATGGCAACCGAAAGAAAAAACTTTAAATATCTTCTTTTAAAAAACCATAAGAGCTAGAGCTTAGATATTTGGCATGAAACATCTTCTAGTGAGTGTCTACCAAGTTTGTTCAAAATAAAAGCCCTGGGGTCAAAATTGGCCCCGCCCCGGGGGGTCATTGATTTTCCCTATATGCATATAGTAAAAACTTAAAAAATCTTCTTTTAAAGAACTCAAAGAGCTATGGCTAAGTATTGAGCATCAAACATGTTTTCTAATAGGTGTCTATCAAGTTTGTTCAAAGAAAGCCCTGGGGTCAAAATTGGCCCCGCCCCCAGGGGGTCATTGATTTTCCCTATATGCATATAGTAAAAACTTAAAAAATCTTCTTTAAAGAACCAAAAGAGTTAGAGCTAAGATATTTAGCATGAAACATGTTCTAATAAGTGTCTACCAAGTTTGTTCAAATAAAAGCCCTGGGGTCAAAATTGACCCCGCCCGGTGGGGTCATTGATTTTTCCCTATATATACATATAGTAAAAACTTAAAAAATCTTCTTTTAAAGAACTCAAAGAGCTAGAGCTGAGATATTTAGCATGTAACATGTTCTAATGGGTGTCTACCAAGTTTGTTCAAATAAAGGCCTGGGGTCAAAATTGGCCCCGTCCCGGGGGTCATTGATTTTCCTTATATGTGTATAGCAAAAACTTAAAAAATCTTCTTTGAAAAAACCCAAATAGCTAGAGTTTAGATATTAAGCATGAAACATGTTCTAGTGAGTTTGTTCAAATAAAAGCCCTGGGGTCAAAATTGGCCCCACCCCGGGGGTCATTGATTTTCCTGATATGTGTATAGCAAAAACTTAAAAATCTTCTTTGAAAAAACCCAAATAGCTAGAGTTTAAAATGTGTATAGCAAAAACTTAAAATCTTCTTTGAAAAAACCCAAATAGCTAGAGTTTAGATATTAAGCATGAAACATATTCTAGTAAGTGTCTACAAAGTTTGTTCAAATAAAAACCCTGCGGGTCATAACTGGCCCGGCCCCAGGCGTGTCATTTTTTTTAACTATGTATGTAGAATATAAGTGGGGCGGGAGGCGGCGCCCACTAAAAACTTTAAAAAAAAAAAATCTTCTTTTAAATAGCCCAATGAGCTAGAGCTTAGATGTTTAGCATGAAAACATTTTCTTATGGGTGTCTACCAAGTTTGTGCAAATAAAAGCCCTTTTGGTTAAATTGGCCCTGCAATGTTTTTGGGGGGGGGGGGTTGGGGCGACCTATATACAGGTGAGCGACCTCAGGGCCATCATGGCCCTCTTGTTTTTTAAAGGTATCTACCTCAAACTTCAAATACTTATTCCTTATCATCAATTACATTTTATGTGACAATGTTTTAACTCTTGAAAGCAAATATTACAGATTTATCTCTCTTTGAACTTAGGATTTTTTTTTAAAAAAATATAATAACTTCTTTACTTTTTAAGGTATCTACTTCAAAACTTCAAAATATATATTTCTTATCATTACACAAATGTTGTGTGACAAGGTCCATAACTCTAGCATGACTATTTCTAGAATTATTCCCCTTGATCTTGGAATTAATGTTAACAAATGTTATGTTTTTACTATTTTTTAATACATAATTATACATAATTGATTTTTC